CAAAATTACTTTGACATAGTTTAAGCAAAGCAAATAAATTATATGGGAGATCAGAGTCTGGTGCCCAGGAGCAGTATCATTATTTTATCTGTTGACTACAAATTTTCCTTTTCTTTCTTGCATAGGTTCCAGAGTTTGTCTGCCAATGGATTGGGAACCAATAACAGTTCATACACCACCACATTTTAGTAGCACAGCATTGTTCCATACAACATCTTGTAGTTCTAAATAAGGTTTTGACACTGAGGTTCTCCTGGTGGCATTAATAGGATCCATTTCTGAATAATCCATGCTCAGATTAGAGTATAGAACACATAACAGGCATATAATACACACAAAAAAGAAGCTGGGAAAATGCTATTACCATTCAATTTGGCTCTTCTTTTTTTTAGGACACTATACTTGTTCCATTGTGGTACAGAGACTTAGCGACAAACAGCTAAAGCAACTCAGCATGAGCAAAACAGCTATCATTGTTTCAGCTTCAATCCAGGACAATCATTTTTCCATGGAGCAGATTGGTGCTGAAGTGCCGTTTAATCCAGGGTTTTTTGCTAATCAGACTGAAATTATCCTAAGTAATCATCACACAAGTTCTGATGTGAAGATCTTTGGAGCCATTGAAGTACTTGAAAATCTTGAAGTAAGTAATAACAAATATTTACTCTAAATGTGTCACTAGAAAATGTTGATACTCTAGTCTAATCAATATGAGCCAAGACAAGAGAAAATCAAAATGAATGGGATTTCTACCAAGAACAGAAATGTGTTCAAAAATACAAAGACATTATGTTAGTTATATTGCCAGTCTTGTGCATAAAGTTTAAAATAAAATGGCAAGCACTTTGAGATGTATTCTATTCACTAGAGAGGCCTATGAAATAAAGGCAAAGCAGCCATTAAGTTGGGTGGATTCGGGCTTTTATCTACATACATATCTCACAAACTTGCTATTTTTATTTCATGTTATTGGATGATTTTTGGCCACCTACCACAAATGTGTTTTCTATTAGTTATAATTAGCTAGCTAAAAAGCGAAGTTAATTAATTCTTGTTAAAATCTCTTTAATTGTTCCTGTGGATATAGAACATACACTCAAACTTTCCCAGATATTTATTCAGTTTCATGTACCTGGTAGAAATTGTCATTACCATTTTAGCTGAGCTATTTGAGCTGCACAGTAACAGAGAAAGGTGAGTTTTTCTTCAGCAGGTTAGAACAAAGCAGAGATATGATAATAAAGCTGTGAAAAAAGAAAGGAGAAGGAGAGAAAGAGAAAATATAATCCTACATTGTATTCTAGACATGTACACATGTTGATCGCTATAGTTGTACTATGAAACCAATTAGGCCAAATGAGAAAGTAAATTAGGCTGATGCAAACCAATTTATACCAGGCCTATCTCAAATCGGATTGATCCCCTTTGTTTCTGGCATGGAATGACTCTGTCAAAAGCACTTTAGCAGGAGAAAAGCTAAAATGTGTGTTTCCAACACAAACACTAAAGTGGTGCAAATCAGTGGGGAAGAACTCACAATCTGGTTTCCTGGATCTCTATTTGGATTCATAGTCTAGATGAAATCAGGCTCAAGTGTGAATTCCGAAATTGGACTCTGAACTAAATCAGGGGGACAGTGTACTACCCTATACCACATAATTAGGTTGTATTGAAGAAGGAGTGGCCATCAAGGAGTTGTTTAATTGCCATGTGAATCAGCTCTCTCATTAGGAAAATATGGCATCACAGGAGAAAGGAAGAATTGCATTGAAGGATCAAGATAGATCTGTCTTTATTATTTTATCCACTGTCAGACAGGGATTCATGAAGTTCACAATGGCCAGAGAGGGAATGGAGTCTTGAATCCAATTTTTATCAATCATTTTTGCCTGTGTTCAGAACAAAAAACCTATTCAAAGTTTTTGCTACAGAATTCAGATGCATACTTTATTTTACAGGTAAAACCTGGTTCACCGGTGGTAATGGCTTTTGAGAAAGACAAATCCTATGGACTGCCCAGTTATGTAACATACACTGTTGCCTTGTCAGACCCCAGACTCACAAGCAGAGGGCCCTTATCTACCATGCTCATAATATCCAGTACAATGATTGACCAGTCTATTACTATTCCAGTAACAATTATTCATGTGTCTGACAGGACTCCATCTGTGAGACGTAAGTTTCTCTTTCTCTGTGCCCTTTATTAAATATGAATCCTTTTGTTAATAATATTATACTATTGTTTCACATTTTGACATCTTTAGGATAGCATTCACATTCAAGTAATGTGTGCAGCTCTTCTGAATATAGTTTAGACAATTTCTACCATAATGACGTGCTCCATGCTGTTTTAAAAACATGTTGGTTGCAGGATCAGGCATGGTAGGTTACTTGGATGGGAGAACTACAAAGAACAAGACTAAGTTACAGAGAGAGGTTGCAGCTTTCCTTGTATTTCCTGTGTAAGAAAACTCTATGAAATTCATGGTCTCTATAAGTCAACAGTCAACTCAATGATTAACACACCCACACCTATGTAAATGGTGGCTTACATAAATATTCCCAACAAACAGTACATAGTTGAAGAAAATTTTCTACTTACATTTCATTTGGTTATGAATTTGAAGTACGTTGCTATAATTGATGACACTATTTTATTTCTTCATTTTCTCAGATGGACCAGGTTTATTACAACATTTCCTTGACTCTTACCAAGCAATGTTTTTCACTTGTTTTGCCCTGTTAGCAGGGGTGGCTGTTATGATCATAGGTAAGAGGTTCAAATGATTGAGAATTATTTCTCCCTATATTTTTCAAAATGTTTAATTGTGGCTTTAATTGAACTTTGATGCTATCACTCGTTCTATAATGTCTTTCAGTGCATTACACTGTATTCTCACCAAAAGAACAGCAAGTTCATCCAGCTTTCATCCCAAGGACAAGTCCTCAGCACAGACAACGTAAGCAGATGTTAACCAGTTAAAAAACTTTTCACCTTTTATAACTGAATGATATTGTGTGTTTCTCTTTTAAAGATGATACCCTGAGTTAATTAGCACTACTGGACTTTTGTAGGACACATAGTATCATATCATTTGTTTCTTCAATGTACTGTCCACAGCCTACATGTAACCCCCAAGCAGTTTTGTATCCACACCATCAAAATACAGTGCAAATCATGTTGCCATTTGCAAGTCAAGAAATCCTCATTTAAATCTCTCTTTTTTTGTTTTAACTAGAGTGCCTTGAAGCTTGGATGTGAACCACTACCAGCCATATAAAGCAAACAAAATTTTACTTGGATTAGAACAGCTTGCTTTCATTTGCCACCAAAATTTGGCAGCATAATTTTCCACCATGTTTTTTTTTGGGGGGGGGGGGCAAGCCTACTAATTTGGCCATTAAGTCTACCAGTATTGCCCACTTTCTCCCTATATACTGCCTTGTTACTTACATACAGCTCCTCTAGTTTCATTGGAGCTAGCTGCCAGGATCAGTCCATGCTGAGAAAACAATATAATGAGAGTTGGATGAGTAAACCAAATCCTCTCTTTTGGTTCATCATACAGCTTTCATGTGAGGTTCATATTAAGTCAATAAGCACATAATGAACCCTTTCTTCAACAGTGCATAAATACAAGATGATGATTAATATGTGCAATTTTCTAAAAGAAATAGTTCATCGTAATTTCCACCCACTCCCTTGATTGGTGAGTCACTGAATAATATTGATATTTAAAAACCAATCCACAATTTTCTGATATCTCAAAGTGCATGCGTAAATCGTGAGTGTGATTTGTCATCAGATTAATGTTCCTAAGATATGATCTTTTAAAAATCCTATCAGTTCCATTCAAACACAAGCTGTTTAATGCTGTTTCTTCCTTATTCCCGTTGCCTGCCTTTCTCTGTCTTCTTTGGACTGAAGAGAGTTCTGTACTCTGCTGCCGTCTGTGAATTGTGAAACTCTGTAATAACTCCAGGATGGGAAAGGACTGGATCAGCCATGATTTACTTTGGTTCATTGTCACTGCATTTCAAGTAAAAAATAGTTATTAGGTTGGCTACGCTTAGCTCAGATTCAATCCAGTTGAAAACTTTAATAATCCCTTTCAGACCAGTAGTGGGGGTTTTGTAATCATTACCATGTTGTTGTTGAACTGTAGCTCCAAGCAGTTGCAGTGCACCAAAATATCTGCAGGATTCCTACTTCAGCTTTAATAGATTAACTTACTGCTTTCATGTAAGCACAAATACATGTGTCTTGCTTTTTCGTTTTACCATTCTTGGAGCAGTTTCTGTTCCCTAAAGCTGTTTGATGGAATAAATGTGCTGGTTCTTATTCAAATGAGAGAGGAATGGGCAACCTTATCCTTCACCACCTTTTAATATCCTTCACCATTAACTATGCTGGATGGGACTGATGAGAGTTTTAAGTCAATACCACATGTCAGTCCTGAAATCAGTCATCATCTAGAATTTAGAGAAAATATCCTGAATTACGTAAAATTTCATCTTCTGCTACTCTGCATACTGGTGGTTCCTTATATTTATCAGTGCAAAATTCAATGTGCACAAGGGTTTTTTTTGTTATGGCAAAGATTCTCCCATACTGATTGAAGTACACTTTGCACATAAGCTCCTTGTGCCAGTTTACAGTCATAATGGTTCTCAAAGCAGTTATTTAGTCTTAAATTTTGAGTCCTACTTATATTTTAAATCTAATCCCTCAAATTCATATTGTATGAAAACATACTTCAAAAAAGTTAAGTCTACAACCTCACATATCTCTTATACAGAGAACTTGACATTTAAAAAAATAAAATAATAGGTTTCCTTGCTTTTTTAAATTTAATGACATTGATCCATTGTCTACCTCCTTCACTTCCACAGACACCCACTTTCAAGTAGTAATTGCCCTATCTTCTTCCATTGAGAGCTAAAATGAAAACTTTTCATAGAAAATAATCCATAGAGTCAGTGTGTTGTAGTGGTTTGAGTTGACCATGGAAACTCCCACTGGATAAACTTGGGCAAGTCACACTTTCCCATTCTCAGAGAAAGGGAAAGGCAGGCCCCCTCTTAACAAACCTCACCAAGGAAAACTAGTTATAGGTTTCTTTTGGGTCACTGTAAATTGGAAAGAGTTTTGAAGGCTGCACAGCAAGGTAAGTTGTCAGATAAATCCAGAGAGAGGTTTAGAGGAAGTGTGAATCCATGTTCAGTAGACCGCTGCTGCTCCGGAACTGTCTTGAACTGTGTGGAAATCCAGATGGACCTTCAGTTTTCCTTGTATTTGAACTTTTGATTGATCATATTCCATGATGCTTCTAGTAGCAGGTGATATCGACAACCTTATATTTGTGGGGGATCCTTGCCCATGTTTTTCCCCCAGCAAATACAATTCATTCCATATACCATGTATCCCAATACACTTTGGGATGCTGTCATCATTTGTTTTTCTACTAGAAGATAAACACTTCTTACAGAAGCTAAAAGTGTAAGATCTGGAAGGTCTTGGAATGAAGACACTCACAATGCAATCACTAGAAACAAGTCTTTATTTTCCTTCTTGCCAGAATTCAATAAAGCTAATTCATAGAATCATAGAATCAAAGAGTTGGAAGAGACCTCATGGGCCATCCAGTCCAACCCCCTGCCAAGAAGCAGGAATATTGCATTCAAATCACCCCTGACAAATGGCCATCCAGCCTCTGCTTAAAAGCTTCCAAAGAAGGAGCCTCCACCACACTCTGGGGCAGAGAGTTCCACTGCTGAACGGCTCTCACAGTCAGGAAGTTCTTCCTAATGTTCAGATGGAATCTCCTCTCTTGTAGTTTGAAGCCATTGTTCCGCGTCCTAATTCTACCAGTCTATTCTATGCCACCTACTATATACTCCAGTAAAATGTCACCCTCCCCAAACCAGGTTACATTCCACCATCTTCAGCTCTCTGGTTCCCACAACAACCAAGCCAGATGAGCCTTATCTCTGTTCCAACTCTCCTCCTTGTCTCTCCCTCCCTTTCCACCAGCCTTGGCCTTCCATGTCAGGATAATCAGTCGATTCTCATGCCTGAGTTGGCTTCCTGACAGAAAGGGCCAAAACCACAGAATCAAAGGCAGAGTGACCTGTGTATAAAAATGAAAATGCAAACATAGAAAAGGTGAGATAGCAGCACAGCCCTCAGATTGCAGTTAGCAATCCTCTGGGAGAGCCCCCAGGTGAAAAATGGCAAAGCACCATACCGAAGCAGCAAAGACTTCTGGCCAAAACAAGAACATTCAGGGTAGTCAAAGTTATGGAACGGAGCACAGTGCTAGTACAGGCAAGAATTTGAGCTAAATCTAGGAGTGCTGGGAAAACAAGTTATGTGGGAAGGCATCCTATCTACCTGCAGACAGACAATGTCACTGAAATAGCTTCCTCATATACAAGTGCTCCTGGATTGTGAAGACATCTGTTGTTGTTCATTCGTTCAGTCGTCTCCGACTCTTCGTGACCTCATGGACCAGCCTACGCCAGAGCTCCCTGTCGGCCGTTACCACCCCCAGCTCCCTCAAGGTCAGTCCAGTCACTTCAATCTGACTCCTTGTGACCTCATGGACCAGCCCACACCAGAGCCCCCTGTCGGCCGTCACCACCCTCAGCTCCTTCAAGGTCAGTCCAGTCACTTCAAGGATGACATCCCTCCATCTTGCCCTTGGTCGGCCCCTCTTCCTTTTCCCTTCATTTTCCCCAGCACAATTGTCTTCTCTAGGCTTTCCTGTCTCCTCATGATGTGGCCAAAGTACTTCAACTTTGTCTCTAGTATCTTTCCCTCCAGTGAGCAGTCGGGCTTTATTTCCTGGAGGATGGACTGGTTGGATCTTCTCGCAGTCCAAGGCACTCTCAGCACTTTCTTCCAACACCACAGCTCAAAAGCATCGATCTTCCTTCGCTCAGCCTTCCCTAAGGTCCAGCTCTCACATCCGTAGGTTACTACAGGGAATACCATGGCTTTGACTAGGCGGATCTTTGTTGCCAGTCTGATGTCTCTACTCTTCACTATTTTATCGAGACTGGACATTGCTCTCCTCCCAAGAAGTAAGCGTCTTCTGATTTCCTGGCTACAGTCTGCATCTGCAGTAATCTTTGCACCTAGAAATACAAAGTCTGTCACGGCCTGCACGGTTTCTCCCTCTATTTTCCAGTTGTCAATCATTCTTGTTGCCATAATCTTGGTTTTTTTGACGTTTAGCTGCAACCCGGCTTTTGCGCTTTCTTCTTTCACCTTGATTAGAAGGCTCCTCATCTCCTCCTCGCTTTCGGCCATCAGAGTGGTGTCATCTGCATATCTGAGGTTGTTAATGTTTTTTCCAGCAATTTTCACCCCAGCTTTGCATTCATCAAGCCCCGCACATCGCATGATGTGTTCTGCATACAAGTTAAAAAGGTTGGGTGAGAGTCTGCAGCCTTGCCGTACGCCTTTCCCAATCTTGAACCAGTCTGTTGTTCCGTGGTCAGTTCTGACTGTTGCTACTTGGTCCTTGTACAGATTCCTCAGGAGAGAGACAAGGTGGATTGGTATGCCCATACCACCAAGATCTTGCCACAATTTATTATGATCCACACAGTCAAAGGCTTTAGAATAGTCAATGAAGCAGAAGTAGATGTTTTTCTGAAACTCCCTGCCTTTCTCCATTATCCAGCGGATATTGGCAATTTGGTCTCTCGTTCCTCTGCCTTTTCTAAACCCAGCTTGAACATCTGGCAACTCTCTCTCCATGTATTGCTGGAGTCTTCCTTGCAGGATCTTGAGCATTACCTTACTGGCATGAGAAATAAGGGCCACTGTACGGAAGTTTGAGCAGTCTTTCGCATTTCCCTTTTTTGGTATGGGGATATAAATTGATTTTTTCCAGTCTGATGGCCATTCTTGTGTTTTCCATATTTGCTGGCATATGGCATGCATCACCTTGACAGCATCATCTTTTAAGATTTTAAACAGTTCAGCTGGGATCCCGTCATCTCCTGCTGCCTTGTTGTTAGCAATGCTTCTTAAGGCCCATTCACTTCACTCCTCAGGATGTCTGGTTCTAATTCATTCACCACACCGTCAAAACTATCCTCAATATTATTATCCTTCCTATACAGATCTTCTGTATAGTCTCGCCACCTTCTCTTGATCTCTTCAGCTTCTGTTAGGTCCCTGCCATCTTTGTTTCTTATCATACCAATTTTTGCCTGAAATTTACCTCCAATGTTTCTAATTTTCTGGAAGATGTCTCTTGTCCTTCCTATTCTGTTGTCTTCTTCCACTTCCATGCATTGCTTATTTAAAAATAGTTCCTTATCTCTTCTGGCTAACCTCTGGAATTGCGCATTTAACTGGGCATATCTCCCCTTTCCCTGTTTCCTTTTGCTTTCCTCCTTTCTTGGGCTACTTCCAGTGTCTCAGCAGACAACCATTTTGCCTTCTTGGTTTTCTTTTTCTTTGGAACGTACTTTGTTGCCGCCTCCTGAACAATGTCTCGGACTTCTGTCCATAGTTCTTCTGGGACTCTGTTTACTAAATCTAGTCCTTCAAATCTGTTCTTCACTTCCACTGTATATTCGCTAGGAATGTTAGTGAGATCATATCTAACTGGTCTGTGTATTTTCCCTGATCTCTTTAGTTTTATTCTAAATTGAGCAATAAGAAGTTCGTTATCTGAGCTACAGTCAGCCCCAGGTCTTGTTTTCACCGACTGGATGGATGTCCGCCACCTTTGGCTGCAAAGGATGTAGTCAATCTGATTTCGGTGTTGACCATCTGGTGAGGTCCATGTATAATGTAGATTCCATCTACATTACAGAATTAATGCTGTTTGACACTTTAATGGCCATGGATCCATGCGATGGAATCACAGGAGTTTTCATTTTGCAAGATCTTTAGCCTTGTTCTCTAGGACAGAGTGCTGGTGCCTCACCAAACAACACCTCCCAAGATTCCATAGCATTGAGTCATGATAGTTAAAGTGATGTCAAGCAACATATGCAGGGCTTGAGTTGTATCTTTGTTTACCAATATCTGTTCTTAGTCAGATATATCTTTATTTTCCAAACTACTTGTGATGGAAAAGTCAATGTATAGCATTTGTTTGTAGAGAGAGTACTTCTTTTTCTGCTAGGTATATTTTAAATACCAAATCAAGTATGCTACAACATCAAGCCTACACAAAACTGTTAACAGCATTCTCCTGTACTGTATATGAATAATCATTCTTTTCTTCATTTATAGATGCTGGATTTTCTCTCACATCTTCAAGTTCTAACAGTCCTACATCTTCGAGCAATGAAAATGTCTCTTTCACTAGGTTATGGAGTCCAGGTTATGCTTCACATTAAAGAAGATGGTTTTCTACACAAGGATTTCTACTTTGATTTTAAAATGCTAGTGCCTTTACTAGTAGCTAATTGAATATCAAATGGAATTTGCCAATCTTTAAGTGTTTTGCTAAGCATATGAATATATTTCATTTTCAAGAATGCAATATAATTAGGGCATACATCTTAATATGCATGCTTTTCCTGCTTCATGATCTGCCATTCTTCTCATTATTCTTGAAAATGAAGGAGAAGAGCAGAAAATCACTCAGGTCCTGTCCAGCATTTGGATTGAGTGAGCTTGGCTATTTCCCCACCATTTATATGCTTCAGTTCATTTTCGATATAGCTTTTGTTTGTCAGTATAGATATACAACACTTCATTTGCCCATTACTTCCTGTGGAAATAATATTTTTATAGTTTTGTAATGAGGCTTGAGGCTAGCAAAGAATGGAGGCATAATAATTAAAACATGAGCCAAAACATGAAAGTATGTGCACTCCTAAAGGATTTAAATTTTAGCTTAGCTTCAGATTTTATTAATTTATTTTGAGACTCAGGAATGAACATGCTGCACTGACACAGTTTTGCACTATTTAGCCTTACAAATCATTTGAATTTTCTAGTTTAGAAAGTAGTTATGCTTATAATAACTATGAATAGTTGTGCCTTTTTGTATAGAAATTGGAACATAATTGCCTTTTACCACTTCACTAGTTGCTGGTGGAGCACAAAGACTCTCACATTTGTTTCTCAACTTTTTAAATGATACGTTGTTATATAACGATGCAGACTATTTTTTAAGAAAAAATATTTTAAACATGTTTGAAAATTGCTAATATAAAATTAGTTTTTTGCGAATGTTAAATACCTCAAAAATTGAATCTATGTACATCTTCTGATCAGTGCCTGTGACAAGGATTAGCAGTGATGCTTAAAATACTGAATAAATCTGTATATCATTGGAATGTGAATTAAAGACACAAAAGTATGGCGCAGTTCTCACCAGCTAGTTCATATAATGGTTAATATTTCATTTTTAATGTTTTCAGTAATGTTAAAGATTATGTATTATTCTAGCATTACTGGAGGTAATGCAAAGCTACTGCTGATTTCAAACAGCCGATTTTTTTTTTGCCAGGGGACTACGTAACTCAGGGATTTATAAATGCAGCCAGTTCAATTGTTAGATGCATACTGATAAATATTGTTATTTATGTTATAAAATTGGACATCATTGGGGCCTTCTCCTGAAAACAGAATACGTCTGGTTCCAACAGATCCCATTCTGGCCCTATTCTTCACATGGAGTATGTAGCCTTCCTCCCCAGGACAACTGCACCACATACACAGAAGTAGTGCTTCCTTTCACTGTTAAGGAACTGCCATGGCGGCCCCAATACAAAGACCCATCTGCCTAAAATCATTGAGTAGTTAGGACTAATTGTATGAATATTTGACTGTGAACTATCTGCTTAACTGTGACTTCATTCCGCACCCTCCACCCCAAAAGTAACTTTCTGAATGTGTGGAAATTTTTGAAAACCACATAAACAATCCTGTGAACACATTTTACTTTTATATTGTAAAGCAAGGTTGTTTTTTGTTTTTTTTACTTTGGTTGTGCTATTTAAATTTCCCTGGTTTTTGAGTAATAAAGATGTGCTTTAAACACATGAGAGTTCTTTGAAAATCATTCTATTGAAGTAAATGTGACCATTTATCATTCCATTTTTCCATAATATAATTACAACTGGAGGGACGCATACAGTGAAGATAAAAGGGGAAAGGACAACATAGAAACAAAGGGTGAAATGTAATCTTTTTTTTTCGAGTGAACTCTTGCAGACCAAATATTTTCCAACTTGAAGGGAAACTTGGAGAAACAGACATACCTCAGTTAACAAAGTCTCTGACAATGAAGCTCCTGGTTACAAAGTGTTTTATATCTGCCCAGCTTTCACTTTTCCTTCTTGTCCTCTGTCTACCTGGAAAAGTATTTAACAGAATCAGCATTAGGAGAATGTGAAGGACCCCTGAGGAAGCACAGTCTTTTTGATCAAGAGAGCAGCAGCATGTCTGCAGTAAACCATTCAATAAAGTTTGAGCTGGTAACGGTATTCTACTGTAGCAGATCCTAGTATGGCAGTTTGTGCCTGTCTACAACAGATAAGATAAGCAGCAACTGCCTTCAGATGCATCAATAGTAAAATGGGAAAATAGATATGCCTGTCTGAACAGCCATCCTCAGCATGCTAAAAGGCATACATTTAGGTGGTAACAAAATGTGGAGGCTAGTGAGAGAATAATACTAGAAACTTGCAAGTGGTCTCTACAAGAATCAAAACCTGTTTTTTAAGTTATGCAAGACCTCCCTGGCTTAATTGTTTCATTTCACATGTGCAAATTGATAAGCCATTTTCCAAAAATTGTTGAATTGCTCTTGACTTTTGTAGTTTAGGAACATATCCCTATTCTTTCTGTTGTTTTACTGCCTCGGGTACCAAAGTTTTTGTTAAAATAGTAATGCCCAGAAATCATCTGCTTTGTTAACTGAGGCCCAATCTACACAGCCCTTTAATGGAGGCTGGGCAACGGATTAGCCTGAGACATTTGAAACGATGCCTCGGGCTAATCCAGTTTAATCTGGAATATGGATATCTAGGTTTACTCCAAGTTAAAAAAATGCCTGGCAATGTGTGTGGCAGACTTTCCAGGGAGGCCTACACCTTCCCAGGTATGGGACCTGTGGAGATTGACCCTCAGGATTGCCATCTGCGATCCTGGAGATTAATCCCACAGCCATCTCACTTTCTGGGCTCCAGATTTTCCCTTTTCTCTCTCCAAAGCTCCTGGTGCATAATTTTGATGTGACAATAGCCCACTACAAAAGGTCTGCAAATGGAGGTAGGCTTCTGCAGTAGGTTTTGGTGGTAAACAGGTGGCTGGTGGTGATACTCCCCGAGTCAATCTCAGATCGACCCAGGAAGATATCTAGTTGCCACCCCACCAAAATGGTGGGGTTTGGGGCTGCTATTTGGCCACAAATCTGAGAGAAACCAGCATATTAAATGCCAGATTTTATCAGGTTTTAGGCCTGTGTGGAAGCGGCCAGAGTTATACTTGTACTGAAAACACAGTAATCTGATGTGCCTTCAAGCCATTTCCAACTTATGGTGACCCTAAGGTGAACCTACCATTTTTCTTCGTGGTCTCTGCGAATGCACACTTGTGGAGAGACTGCGCCTGCGCGGGCTCCAACGGAAACTTCTACATTTTAAAACTTTTCAAGTTTTGGCGGTAACCCCGCCCAGCCCCGGCAGGGGATAAAAGGGCGCCCCGCGCACACCGATCCAATTCCTTTTTTTCCGCCGCACGGCTCGCTTCGATACTTCTATTGTTAGAGATATTGCTGGATAGTGATTCTTGATAGAGTTTCTTCGAGTTGTTCGACAATATTATGTCAACAACTCGCTTCAAAAGATGCGCGAATTGTCCGAGGAAGATCCCTGATTCGGACAAGCACGCTCTTTGCCTTTTGTGTCTCGGAGAGGCACACATTACTTCTTCGTGTCGTCATTGTCAATCGTTGACGGCACAGTCCCGTAAGAACCGGGTCCATCGACTTCGATACCTCCTGTACCAGCAGACGTTGGCTCCGGTACCTTCAACATCGACATCGGCGTCGACGTCAGCCGCGGTATCCAGGCCTTCGACATCAGCTTCGACGTCGAAGGAAGCATCGACATCGAAATCTGTCGGTCCCTCGGCGGAGGCCGAGCCTCGCCAGACAAGGGCGAAGAAAGCTGAGCAGAAAAGGCCGAGAGCAGCAATGTCGACAACGTCTAAGACCTCGGTGTCGACAGCTTCCAAGGCTACAAAGCCTACAAAGCAAAAAGCTCCATGCACGGTCACGACCGAGACCGTACACATCCGGCACTCTTCGACCAGCTCAGTGGCGTCGGTGAGATCGATCAGGTCCACGAGGTCGACATCGGCGACTCCGCCATCTTCCACGGCGGTTCGCATTGCTTTTCGCCGGTCTCAAGAAGAGTCTCGGCGTGCTTCCACCTCATCCTCCGTCCCGCCCACCCCGGGCAAGTCTGTGTCGAAGACAGCTCAGCCGCCGGCAAAGAAGAAGAAGACGATGCCGCCTCCATCCTCGTCTTCTTCTTCCCGAAAGCAAACCACCGCCTCCTCGGCCACCTCGTCGGCGAGGTCATCGCCGTTGCAGCCTGCTGAACCCCAGCTGGCCCCACAGCCTGCTCAGGAGCCGCAACTTTTGCCGGAACAGCCTTTGGAGCAGCCCGAGTCCCCGGTGATCTCGGTGGACACGGTGATCGAGGCACCAACTCGACATGTGACAGCCAGACAGGAGCTTTTCCCGTCGGTCACGACCTTGACAACTGTGATGGCAAGACAGGAGACTTCTCCAGTGCTGGAGACTCCGGAAAGGGGCAGGCAGACTATGAGACTGGCCCGTGCCATTCAGGCTTCGGCCTCAAAAGCCCCTCCAGTGGCTCCATTGCAGCGCCCGAGTCGGGATGTCTCCTCATCCCCTCCTCCCCAATCCGTGGCTGCCGATGACGAAGAGGAAGATGGCGAGTTACCGGGATCGGTACACTCGGGATCTGTGTTGCCTCTCGGGATCGAGAGATCACCCACTCACGACACCTATGAGGCTGATCCTCCATCTCCCACTGACAATGTCCGGGCCTTTGCGGATCAAATGGCTCGCATGGCTGATGCCCTAGGCCTGGAGGTCAAACAGACTTCCAAAGCAGTGCAAGACCCGGTGTTTAAAAGGGTGCAAGCAGAGTCCCCACCCGCTCCTCTTCTACCCTTCCTTCCCTACCTCCTTGAAGTGATCCAGGGCTCCTGGAAGACACCCTCCTCCATTCCCCCGACCTCCAAGAAGATCGAGTCCTGGTATAGGACTGACGACGAGGGCTTGGAGTGGCTGAAACACCATCCCGACCCTAACTC